GTTCCGCAGGAAAAAGATGAGGCTTTCTGCTCCTGTGAAGATTTACAGCCTCAGAAATCCTGTACAGGGTCGCTATGAGTCAGAACCAACTCCACAGTACTTAACAACAACAACAACATGAAGGCTAAGTTAATTAAATATTTGACCAAATATAGCAGGCTAATTTTCTAATTTAATTAACTCATCCCCTAATGTGATGGCTGGAGTCTTGGTGTGACACTGTGGGTTAATGCGCTGGACTGCAAAATCGGTTTGAACCACAAGGTCGCTGGTTCGAGCTCATTTGTCACTTCTTGGGAACACTATATAGGGTTGCTGTAGGTTGGAACCTACTCAGCAGCACTTAACAACAACAATGTGATGACTGGAACTGCAGTTGCCTTGGCAGGGCCAGATCAAATGATTTTGCGAGACTTAAGGAACTCTAGTAGCGTAGTGGTTACATATCAGGCTGCGAAACTCAAGGACAGCAGTTCAAAACTACCAGCTGTTCCGTGGGAGAAAGATGAGGCTTTCTGCTCCCACAAACATTTACAGCCTCGGAAATCCTGTACAGGGTCGCTATGAGTCAGAATCGACTCACGGCACATAACAACAACAAGGAGCTCTGGTAGCGTAGTGGTTACGAGTTGGGCTGCCAACTGCTAGGTCAGCAGTTCGAAACTACCAGTGGTTCCGGGGAAGAAAGATGAGGTGTTCTGCTCCCGTAAAGATTTACAGCTTCGGAAACCCTGTATAGGATCACTATGAGTCAGAACCGACTCCACGTTACTTAACAACAACAACAATATATGGCCTGAGAGGCGGATGTTCCCCTCCCCTGCTACACAGGGTTGCTATGAATCACAACTGACTCGACAGCACTTAACAACAAGAAAACATAGGACCTGGAGGTGGGAAGAAGGAGGACTTTCATATTTTGTTTTATATGTGACTATATTACATGAGTCTGATGCAAATACATTGTGCTCATATATTAATTATTTTGTAAATTAAAAAAATTAATGTTTCTCATGAATTTTGGTATCACAAAACCAAACAAAAAATTGCATCATCCTCTTATTGGGCTCTTAGCCTTTTATATCTGTATAAAACAGCTGTCATTGAGCCCCACTTATGGCAACCTTGTAAGTTTCAGAATAGAATTACTCCATAGGGTTTTAAAGGCCGTGACCTTTCAGAAGCAGATGGCCAGACATTTCTTCTGAGGTGCATCTGGGTATGTTTGAACCACTAACTTTTCAATTAATCAAGTGCTTAGCAGATTGCACCACCAGGGATTCGACTTTTAGTATAAACACATAACTTTGCTCTGTCCAAAGCAAACAGTTCCTTTAAGACCATCCACTAGAACACTGGAAT